AAAATAATTAAGCCATTTCCTGACTGAGAGTTGATTTTCTATCTTTTTGGGTAGTTTAAATATACATAAATAGTTATTAATAATAAATTATTAAACCATTTTTAGTTTGTAAAACTTCACAAAAACAAGGTTTTTATGTTGAAAACAGAACTTACTTCAAGTATTATAGTTCCACTGGCTTTTCTATAAATTAACCTCCTTACTTTCCACAACTTTAAGTACGAAAATTTCCTTACATTTCCAGCTCATTCCCCACTCATTTCACCTGAATTACTTTCGACAACATTGCTGAATTTTCGCCAGCATTTTTCGTACTTAGCCCAGCCAATGGCCTCGATTTTAATGCTGCAATTTTCATTGAAATGAGTTCAAAATCAAGGTCGCCGCCGTCATCCCGGACCCAGTCATAATGGTCATGCTACATCATCCCGGTCTAGAGAATCTTGGGTCTTGAACTCGACCCGAGCGATGCCATGAATACAAATTGTTGCATTTGCAATAAAAAATTCATGGGATTCCATTTCAATAAGCGAAACGGGCGAATAAATGCAAGGCGAATCAGTTTATTAAATAAACGTCGATGTGAAACATGAAGAACGACCTTTGCCAAGACAGACACACGCTTCTCGCATGGAAACTTCACTAAATTACCAAGAAAAATATTTGCCAATAAGCCAGAAAAAAACAAGAATTTAACGATACAGATAGCCGGGTGAAGAGGGAAAGCGGAGCCAGGTAATTTGTTTATCCAGCGAAAGGAACACCTGCAAATTGCCAGCTCGAGAGCCCAGAGACAAATCCCTCTTTCCTCATCCACACTCTCTGTGTTTTTCGCATTTTCCCCGATTCTTTTGTGAGATTGGAATGCAGTAGTTTCCAGTGGCAATTGCGAATTAGTGCGTTCATCGAGGGAAAATGAGAAAAGCCACTGAAAGCAAAGAGCTTTGGGAAAATGAGAAAAAGGGAACTAAGATTTGCTGTGGATAAACGATGATTAAAGAGATACGAAAACAGATTACTTAAGTATGGCTTTTGTAGATTAAATATCTTTATTTTTTATTATTAAAATAAGTAATTAAAATTCCACAATTTTCTAATGATTTCTCTTTTCAATACGCCCACTTATAAGCCTAAATCTAAACTATTCCAGCATTGCTTAGATGCGCCCACCCCCACCTGTTTTCTACCCCCTCACACGCCCACACATTGTTTATTTGCACAAATGCGTGCGCTTTCGTTTTCCGAATTTTCCAACGAATTTCTTGGCCAGCAAAATTGCAAAACGAGGTAAAACTGGACAATGTGGGATATATAGCGCTGCCATACGCTGGGGATTTACATATGTCTATATGTATATTCACGAAAAACTGCCTGTTGCTGTTGTTGTTTGGGTTTTTCGTTAGAGAACATGTGTCTGCAACATGCAAAAGTAATGCACAACAAGTGAACTGTGGAAAACGGGATCCTTTTCTTAGATGATAATAGGGAAAATGTAGGTGTTACTATCAGAAAAGGGGTGACTGTAACTGGCATTAGCATTTTTATGATTTTTTTCAAAACCTTTCCTTGATCTCTAACTACTTGATCTTAGATTTAACTTCATTATTCATAATCCATATTAAATTTAAACCCTCTAAACTGACACTGATTTATCTTTCAGTGTAGCAGAAGTTCTCCTTCTGTTTTTCCCTTAAAAAACCAACGATCGATTCTCTTTTCTCTTTTTCTGGTGTACATGGATTTTGACTTTGACTGGACGCTGCCATTTAATGTGTGTAAACATTGCGCAAGCTAAAAACAACAAAATAAAAAAAAGCCAGCAGGAGTAATAAATTTCTATATTCATACGCCGCGTTGTACACGCTCGCCCAAAAAGACGTCAGAAGGGTAGGAAAAGGGAAGGGAGGGAAACAGTGGGCGAAAGTGGGACGGAGGATGGCTGATTCAGACAACAACAGAAATTTGACTACAAAAATGGGCAAAATGCAAATACACACAGTCGGCCGCAGTTTCCATGTGTGCGTTTGGCTTTTTCGGCAATTTTGCGGCATGTTTTTCACACATTCGCGCGCTACGAGGAAAAGCAAGGAAAAGCGAGGAAAAACAATCGAACACGACGCTCTGGCTGCCATGGAATATCAATATTCATACTCATTTATTGGTATTTGTATTCTTATTCCTATTCATTCCATTCGATTCGATACGATACGATGATGATGATGATGCAAGTGCAAATTTATTTGCCACTTTGTATGAGGCTAGCCGAGTTGTAAGTGAAATTTTGAATTCCCCACTGGGCGGCTGGCTGGAAAAGCCTCCAAGTTGATTGATTTTCCAATTGCAAACTGAGTGCTTTTGGGTTGGTAGTTTTGGGGGTACAGAGAGAGAAAAGGGAGGTGTTCAAAATTATAGTTTATAATGAGAAAAATGTGATGTTAAGAAACTTTTCAGAACACGAATGGTACTCTGATTTTCTTTCAGATAATGATATTACTAAGATCATTACTAAGACGATTCTTCTTATAATTCTAATGCCAACAATCACCATTGAACTATAACTATAACCTATAAAATATTCTATCATAACTAACATTTAATTAGTTTTTCTTCGTGCACAAAACAGTTCAATGAGCTTTGTTAGTCAGTGAGTGATCCCCAAAATTCTCCGTCTGAGCAACAGAACATGAAATATCCCCCTTTTTGAATTCACAGTTCAGCACGATTTCAGCCTCAGCCCTCGGCCTCAGAAGCAATCGAATGAGATGTCAGGAATGCCCAGCCAATGGGAATTCGATGGGGCAGTAAGGGGTAGCTGGAAAACCAACCAGGAGGACTGGAAATAGCCCCAGCGACACTCATTTTGAAGTGTTTAAGAGCGCTCACACGCAGAAAACACAAAACGACAACACCTTGTGCCCCACTCAACACTAAAAATTACAATGAAAATGGTCATAAAAACAAGGAAAAAAGAAGGCGAGGAAAAACTGGGCTGGAAAGGGACGACCGACGTTTGTGTGTCTGCTCCGGTTTTATTTTTCTTTCCTTTTCATTAAATTAAATTTTATTCTTGTTGTTGTCGCACGGCAGCTAATTTTGCCGAGCAGTCGGCCCCCGCTCATTTATCATGTAAATAAAAAAGCCATAAACGAAAAAATCAAAATGATTTTTGTTTTTACATTCGACTGCAGTTGTCTAATCACAGCCATCAAAATCACTATATATCAAAGGAATTAAAATATATGTGCGCTATATACTGAAAGAGTGTCAAGGCTTGGAAAATTTTACGTTCCGATTAGCCGCAAGAAATGGAATTTTCCTCCTCTTCTCAGCTATTTGTAAACAAGATTGCATTGTTGTAAACAAGTCGTTTATATGGCCAAGATGATTCGGCTTAGCCTGTTGTTCGCCATGCTGCTTGTTTTTTTAGTTTGATTAATTCTGGGTATTAGTGTAATTTATTTATTTTTAAATGCTTCGGGCGATAGTTTATTTATCGTGGGTCTCAACAAGTGGCAGCAGCGGATTATTTGCCTTTTACAGAAGATAAAAGCAGTTCTTCCAAGGAAAGGGTGGACAAGGGAAGTCATAGAATGATTATATGGTTTCTTGATTTTAATTTTGGGGTATATTTTTTAGATTTTTCAAATTTATTGGATAACTTAGGTTCTTTCTCTAATAAAACCCAAATGGTTACGAAAGACCTCTTCCTATATGAGTCGCAAATTCCTTTCCTTTCTATATCAAATATTTCCCGCATGGTTTTCGATTCCCCTGCTGCGTTTTTCGGGGGTCCGCCCACGCTTTGTTTAACTTTGGCATATATGCTGGGTTCCTCGTTACATTATATATTCATACAATGTCTGCATTTGTTGACAACATTTTACAATGCTTTATTTTTAACAGCTCGTTAGCCAAGGCGGAGAAGGGCTGGGGGTGGTGATGGGTGGCCTGAGGCGTAATTGGGGAGGCTGAGGTAGGTGGGCTGGTCAGTGTGACATTGAGCGCGTGCCAAGCAGAAAACGCACGGCCAAAAGGCAGAAGAAAAAAAAACGTAAAAAGAAACGCAGCCTCCCCTCATTAGGGACAACACTCTTGCTTAATTAATTAAAACCAACTAAATTAAAGTCAACTATCAGATTTTATAATGAATTTATCTTATCTTTAGATTCAGGACACTTTGCTAATGGAAAATATATTCAAAAACCGAGCAAAAAGATTTCTATATACTATATAGCTATACAAATCCTTGCTTATAGAGAGTTTTTACTTATAAGCATTTAACTGGCGAACATCTTCTTAAAAATCAAAAAGTTGTCTCGAAAAAAAACTGTTAAGTGTTAGTTTTTAATCTTCTCCGATTAAGACACAGAATATAGAACATTTTTTGTATCAAATGCCATGAAAGTCAATGTTTATGGCTCATTTCAATAATAATAATTAAAATGAAAATCCTCTTTGAAATTAAATTAGTTTCCTCTGCAAAATATTTTGACATTTCCGGTCACAATTTTTATGTTGTCAAAATCCCGGCGAAAATCCATTTTTCCCTAGCTAATCTCGAGGCCTATTTTGTTGCAGCCGGTGGCGTTGGCTGTCATGATTTTCCACAGCCGAAACAATTTTAAGTAGACGCGTCAGCGGTTTACTTTTTTTTAAATTTTTGTTTTTTTTTTTTTTTGATTTGGTAGCAGGAAAAACTAAGTGCTTAGCAATTGCTGCCCCTGGGCAAAGAGCAACAAAATTAAAACAAACAAATGGAGAGCAAAGTTAATGTCAGTCAAGTGGCGGGGAAAATAGGGAGCGCACACAGGGGCGGGGTGGGGGGTAAATTAAGCATAAATCTTTCAATTGTGTTTGGATTTTGGGCCGAAGTTAATAGCCAGCAACGGCGGCGACGGCGGAATCGGTTAACGAACCCGCTGCACTTTTCCGGCCATTGTTTATACAGAAGGTGGCAAGGTGGATATTTTGGATAGGTTGGATGTAAGATCTAGGCATACCCTCACAATGTTTGCAACATTTTGCTGGTGGCTCATCGCTGGCGGCGTCGGCAATGACCGGCATGGTCCCCGCGAACCACTTAAACCACCCGGTGGTGCAGTCCTCTCGGATACTTCTCGGATTCAATCGACACGGCTCGATGATCGGCGTCGAGGGATTGGTTAGAAACACATCCTTGAGCTTAACACTTGAGACACTCGCGCGACACAACCACCTGCTGTCAGGAATCTATGTTCTCTCTCTTTCGATATATCTTTATTTTATTTTTTTTGTATTTTTTAGCAATGGTTTTAGCAATGGAATGTTGGCATTTTCGTAACACTTCTTAGGCTAAACACTTTAAGATCAGTTAGATCAGTTAGATCGGGGCGTAAGATCCTCTCTCGGTTCGCTATAGTCCGCTACTGACGGTGCTAATCGTTTTGCTGTCTGTCGTCTGTGTGGGACGTCACGCCAGGCTATTTCTAGTCTTTTTTGGCTTTCACATTGCGCTTTTCCGTGGAAATCGTCTATGTTCGTTCGAGAGACGTTCAAACGTGAAACCTCCGCAGAGACCACTGAGTGTAGATATTCCGGGCGCACGCCGATCTGCTCCCATTTCGAAATTTCCGAATTTTCGAGCTCGAAATTTTCAAAATCTCCGAAATGTTCTTCGTCTACCATCCGCACAGCATCTCGCCACTGTTAGATAATTTGACTTTTCACCATTTTTCCTCAATGAAACAATGAACTTTCACATTACCTACACGAACAACAACCTAGAATCTGGCTCGCTCTTTCACTCTCTGAGTTTCGAAAACGTACTTTCGAAAATAGAACTCAAAATATTCTCTCACCGGAGAGAGTCCGGTAAACGACGATCGGCGCACGGCTCTTAAATTCGAAAAGTTTTTCCTCAAAGTTTTCGGTCGATTTTCACGAGCACCCTACACTAAGGAGAGTTGGCCATTTGGCTAGGTCTTTGGGTTCCTACGATCGTTTGGGTTCCGTTTTAAAGTGGGTTTCTGGGTCAAGGCGTGTGTGTGCCTGCACTTAGTCTATCTTTTTGGTTGGGTTCAGTTACGAGGAAACGTGCGAAGGTCCCTCAAAGGTTGAAGATGATTGGAAGAGAAACCTTGGTTGTCATAAGTTAGCAATTAATGGTTCTTTAAGTGGTACTTAGTATAAATGGTACCAAATAGGTAAAATCCATTATTCACAAGGAAAGGATTGAACCAGCTGTAGTGGCTTTTATTATGAAATTATAAGAAATCATAAAACCTTCTTTTCTCTATTATAATCTTTTTCACTTTATGTACAGATTCTGTAATTTGTTTAAATTCCAGAAATAAGAATAGTAGTGACAGAAAAGTATAGCTATTATATAATTAATCCTGCTTATGATAATATAAAATATAAAAAATGGCGAAATAAAACCTCTTAAAGTTCAACGCATCCTAAACCAATCAAAATTCCCATATAAATATAGCCTAAGCACTTTAAATATATTTTATTTATGAGTGACTTCCTAAAATATATTTCCCCATTTCTTTTTCCAGCCCCCCCGGACACCTTTCTTTTATTTTCCCTACCCAGCCCGAATATCCCAAGGAGCAACAAAAAGTTATGCCAAATGAAAAATGCGAAAAAAAGAATATTTATTATTTGGCCAACATCCAAAGCAGAGATCTTAACTGCAAAAATCCTTTGCAAACACAATCCAACGACCTTGAAAAGCAACAGCAACGTCTCTGAAAAATAACTTTCGCCAGATCGCAGCATAATTTTTTGCCAATAAACAAATTCACAAATTGGGCAATTGGACGTTGGGGAATCGATTCAAGATATAAAATATAATTTATGATGGTCGTAGAATTCCTAAACACAAACCAAACTGTGAATTGATTCGATGTCGATTGTGGTGGGCCATGGGGCATACGAGTAGGTACATAGATATAGAGAGAACCACCTGCATGACTAATCCCCGATCAGTTTTCCCCCTTAGAATGTGCTCTTTCGATTGATTTGCGGCCGAGGAATGCAGGCAAAGGAAAATCAAAGTAAATTGCAAATACAAATTTAGAACGCCGACAACTAATTGGGTTAAATTTAGCTCAAATATATATTTTTTATTACTCGCAAATAGAAATATAAAATTAAAAGAATAACATAAAAGCAAATACCAAAAGCAGCAACTAAAATAAGAAAATTGACTCAGCTCTGACTTTTCTTGTCGTTCATTTTCATTTAGCGACACAAAATTCTTGTTCTGCTCGTCAGTCGAGTGCAGAATCTTGTACAAAATCATTTTTCAAATTTATGGCCAAATTGGGCGCAAACGTCAAAAGGCTTTTCGGCCCCCTTGGGGAAAATCGGGCAAATGGGCGGCAGATTACCAGGCATCATCTTCGATTGTGTCATGGCTGTGGGCGTGTTTTTATGACGCCTTAGTCGCAAACTATTCCCAGCCCCCGAATACAGTGGGTATCGATAATATATACTTTTCCCATGAATATTATATACTAGAATAATTTAAGGAATTTCCGAACTTACTTCTACGTTAAACGAAAACATTCAAAGTAAATCTTGAACTTTAATATTCTCCTCTGCTTCGTTTTTTATGTAACGCACTGTACATTTTCCTTGACTTTTACAATTCGCTGCCTTTTTGTAAATTGTTCCATTCAGAAATTGTCATAAACAAAGTGAACCATTTTTCATCGGAATATATAGCCTATTTGAATTTTCCATTTGCTGCGCTTCCCATTCCCCATTTTCCATGATGCAAGTGCAATGTCACGGCCAAACAAATGCACCGAAAAAAAGGGAATTTATTTGCGAATTTTGGGCATTCGCACAATTTTATAGTGCACATGCTAGAAACATAAAAAGATATGTGCACTTCCAACCGAATTTAATTGTTGCCACTGTCAAGCACCTCACCCAGGGTCACGACAGACCAATAGTTTGGCCTATGAGTTATGAGTGGGCCGACTTTTATGGCCCACTGTGCACCCAGCTCATTCACTTTCCGGCAGAAATGCTGCGAGAATCCATTCCATTCCCGATCGCCTTAATGCAGGCATTGCTTATTTATTTTTTCCAATTTTTTGTGCATAAATTATCAAGCGGCTAGCATAAAAAATATGGGAACAAGGCACCAAGACAAACACAAATCGAGCGCGTCAGAATTTTTTGCGTGGGCGAGAAAAGTTTTTCTTTCTTTATTTCTCGGGGCAGCAGCAACAGCAGCAGCGGCGGAAAATTGAAAAACATTTTTCACCGTGCGAAAGTTTTTGGTGCTTTTACTTTGACGTCGTTTCATAATGACGAAACGGCACAGCGAGCATTTAGTTTTAAAACAGCTATAAACAAAGATCATTCGAAGACAGCGGGAAATTTCAAGAGATTTTCATTACCAGATTCGCAGGTAATCAAAATATATGGCAAAAACAAAATATAAAATAAATATAAAATTTTTTTAAGGAATATAAAACCATAATATAGGAGTCTATCCCTATTGAACTATCTATCTAAAGCAATTATCCCCTTCATCACCATTAAGTCATATTTATCTATATCTTTTTCCCTTATATATCTTTATAAACAATAAAAGTACGATATTTTTTATTACATATAATTAATTAAAAGCCCTTCCCAAGGAGCCAAATTTTATAGATAAAAAAAACAAACTTGAGAAACAGCCAATTCCATCGCCTGATTTCATAATCTGTGATAATTTATATGATTACTTAAATGAGCAATGTTAGATCGGTCAAAATAAGAAAAAACTATGCCAAGAACATCTAATTGGTCTGAGAAAAAAACGAAAACGTTGAAATATTAAATTTGTCTGCCACACTGCCATCGAAAAGTATGCTATCACTTCTGTGGGTGGCGCGTAGCAACAGGTTGGGGCCTTCTACTTACAACAGGCACTGTGGGGCGACAACAAGCCACAAAATAAATAAAAAGGCAAACAAAAAATACAAAATGAATGCCTGACAACACGGAGCACAGCCGCCGCAATAAATAAATAATCAAATAGGCTAATAATATTACAAAATACACACCAATTTTTGTAAACAAGCACAGATGAATTCGAATATTGAGTACACTTTTTAGAAGAATCTTAAAGATAATTATATGTTTAAGAGGAATTAGAGGGGACTAAACTTAAAATTCATTTAATACTTATATTGTTATAATTTGTTGGGTGCGTTATCTTCCTTTACTTCAACTTAAGGAAGTTCAAAAGCATTTCTTATCAGTTTTGGATAAATATAGCTCGGCAGATATTTTTATTGATACTGTGTAATCTGCTTACAGAAAATGTGGAACTGAAGTTTTGAGCTGTTTTGAGCTTAAAATGCAACTTCACCTCGTTAACAATATAAAAACATCTTGGCAGATAGGAAAGTGTATTTTTGTTTGTTAGAACTAAATAGCATAAATCCATCTTTTTTATAGTGTGTAGTATTCTGTTAACATACCATTGTGTTAATATTAGCCAAGTTTTAGTGTAGCTTTGTATAGGAAATCAGGTCGAATTTTGTTTAATATTTATGTGCACTTTAAAATTATTGAACTATTTTTTTATTTTCAATAAAAAAAAAAATTTCAAATACAGGAGAGAAAAAGTTCCAATTGGAAAAAGGGCGTCGCATGTTCGAACAAAAGGAGACAACAAAAACTCATCGAAACGCCGGCAAAACAAAGACGCGAAGCAGCGGCCCAAAGCGGAGTAGCGAAAAGCGACGAATAGGAGCCAAAGAGCGAGGCGAAAACTTTGCGAATCTCTCACAAAAAGCGGATTAAAAGCAGCCAAATAGATATACATAAATGCAATTAAATAAAGGGGGGCTACATGAAAATTGCAGCAAAAATCAAATTTAGACGGGAATCTCACGCACATCGCACGCACCCACTCTCACACACGCACATTTATATAAATAAACAAAAATGAAGCATAAAAAATAGCAAAATTACCTCAGCGCAGCGCACGTTGTTGTTGTTCTTGCCGTTGTGTGTGTGTAGTTGTTGCTGGTATATTTTTATATTGTTATTGTTGCCGCAGCTGCTGAAATCCGAGCAATTTTAGCGACACGACACGTATAGGGGCTAACGCCAAAAACTTATTGCACATCGGAGACACGTTATTTATTAAATATATTTACCGCGTTTGCTTAAACGGTTGTTAAATATTATTTAGTTTTAGTTTTTAACAAATACGCGACGTTCTTAGAGCTGGGATAAAAATCGATGTTTAGGCAACACTATCGATAGCTGTGTCGATTTGCTATTGGCTTTAAAGGTGACCGTATTTTAAAGAAGTTCAAGAGTTGTCGGTCGTCCATACCGAAAAAATTCAAAAATAAAATGTAAAATATGACTTATTAAAGACCTTAATCTACATTTCTCATAATTTCTTCTTGCCTTTCCAGGGAAAATATAAACCTAACGAATGAAATTCAAAAAATTCGTTTAACTTACTAGATCTGGCAACTTTATAAAAATACGTGATTAGCTAATACTCCAACCTAAAGACAAATTTTAATATATATTTTAACCCCACTGAACTCTTTTCTTCTAAATACAAATTACTTAAATCCAGACTTCGATACGGCAGTTTAGAAACAAGTATATATGCTTTCGAAGTTATAAGCCTGAAATAAATATAGCTAGAAAATAGCCACATTGAACTACACCTGTCTTATAGCCAGATTTATCCGCACTGCCCCTATGAAGGGATACCCTGTATCGATAACGATACGTGCGGTTATCAAGTTGCAACCCTATAGAGACGCCGGACTTGGTGTAAAGAAAAAACGGAAAAGTGCCGTCTTTTTAGCCGCCGTAAATTATCCCGAAAAACGTGAAAAGACCACCGAAAACGGAGCCCCTGGTAAGTGGAAAAGTAGCCGGAATATGGGAATTTAAGCCATAATAACCGAGAAACTCTTCAATGTGCCGCTTAGGCCGAACGACCTACGTGTACCGCAGGAAAACGAGGAATACTACGAACAAGATGTCGGACATCTCCAGCGAGGACCTGCGTCGCGAAATCCAGGCGGTTTTAAAGGACGCTGATTTGGCCACCATTTCCGCAAAGAGGGTGCGTGAACAGGTCGAGGGAAAGCTGAACTGCTCCTTGTTGAGCCGCAAAAAGGAGTTTGACAAGATCGTGATGGAAGTGATCAACGAACAGCAAGACGAGGAAGACGAAGACGATGACGACGGCAAGGATCCGGATGCGGACCCTGATGATGAGAGCGAGCCCAGCGAGGAGGAGGATCCCAGCAGCAGCGAAGAGGAGGCAACTAAGAAGAAGAAGCCGGGTCCCAAGAAGAGGCCACAGCCAACGAAGCACAAGGCTCCGAAAAAGAAGCGTAAGACTTTAAATGCTGATGATTCCGGTACCGAGAGCGATGCTGGATCTGATTCCGACTACGAGGTGGTCAAGAAGCCAGCGGCCAAGAAGAAGGCCAAGGCTGCCGGAGGAGCAGGTGGAGGATCTGGACGCAAGAGCACCGGCTTCACACGAGCTTACAATCTCTCACCGGAATTGAGCGCCCTTATGGGGGAGTCCTCCCTGCCGCGTCACGAAGTCGTCAAGAAGGTGTGGGCCATTATTAAAGAGCGTGATCTTTACGATCCAAAGAACAAGCAGTTCGCCATCTGCGACGACGAGCTGATGAAGGTGATGAAAATCCGCCGTTTCCGCACCTTCGGTATGCTGAAGCACCTCAAGCCGCACTTTCTCGACTAAGTCCGCCCGCCGATCCTCTCCAGATGCAAATATATGTACGCCTCACAGCCAGCCTGGTTTACTAACCCACTGTAACTTTCGGCTCCGCTTGGATTTGTTTGTTCCACAACCTTTGATTAAGATTTAGTTGACGCATGTGTTTAGCATTAACCTAATTAGGACGGGTTTGATATGCACTTTACGGCATTTTAAGGAAATGTTCATACCAAAAGCAAAATATGGACGGAAAAATTATATAAAAAGAATTGTAATACATGAAGTATTTGATTTTTTTATAACAACCTCGTGTAGTTTACATTTTATAAAGTATCAAAGAAAAACATAACAAGTTTAAGGCAATTATCGAGTAATAAAAAGAGAAATAGACGAGTGATGCATCTGAAATACACGAAATTGACTTTTGGTTCATTATTTTGGGATAGTTGGGGTAAAAATCAATCATTTGAACGCGCTCATTGCTCAATAAAGAATTCTTTTTTTATTGTTTTGCATTTCTCACAAATTTCTTACAAACATTTTTCACTTTTCTCTAATATACATATTAGGTGTATATGCGGTGTATATATATATAATTTTCGATCTGATATATATGCCAGCGTGTATATAATTGAATAAATGGAATTACTTTGCACTGCATTTCAATCAACGCTCTCCGGACGAAACGAAAGTACAAAAGTGCCATAATCAAAAGCAGGGACATAAACGATTAACATATTAAGTACGTAAACAATACGAGAGGTTAAATCGATCACCTATTGTAAGGCTGTCATAGGTCAAAAAAGGGATTATTCAGGAAAGCCATTGAGATTAAAACATACATTGACTTTATATGTAAGAGTACAAAAATAACAAGCAAAGATAGTAAAATCAATAGTAGGTTGAATATAAGTAGTGATTGCGATCAAATTAGGTGAATTAGAATCGTAGAAATTCTATTTACACCGATTTTGGGTGATATTAATTCAATTCCTTTTATAGATTATCAATTCCAATTAAGATAACAGGGTGTTGGTGAAATTTAAGTCAACAATCTCATCTTTTGAGCTATAACAGATTAATAGGCAATCGATATGTCTAAAATAAATTCAATTAACCGGCTATAAAAACATTTTAAGGGGATAAATTCTTGGGGGCAAGATTAGTTAGGGGTTTAGAGAGTCATGGGGGTTTAGTAAACAGAGAGAATACTCCTGCGGCTAAAGCGAGTGCTAAATACTATATCGAAGACGTTAAATGCTAACAAAAAGCAACCAAGAATTCCGCTCGAGCTAAACTAAGCAATACAATGGTAATAGTAACTTTGTGTTCTCCTTTCCGTATCCTTTTGTGTGTTCTGTGTGTGTGTCAACAATTGTTTTAAATAGTTTTACTTCTTCGCAAAGACAATACTTTCGTTGGCGTTGTTGTTTCTCCTAATTGCTGGTGTTATTGTCCGCATCCGCGCACTTTCTTCTTAGTAACGGTAGTAGTTGGGCTTAAAAGGACCGGCCTTGTTTAGTCCCATGTACTTGGCCTGCTCGTCGCTCAGCTCCGTCAAATGGGCATCGAAGGTGGGCAGGTGCAGGCTGGCCACATATTCGTCCATCTTCTTGGGCAGCAAGTAGACGTCCGACTTGTAGCGTCCGGGTGGTGCGTTAAAAAGCTCAATCAAGGCCAGCGCCTGGGTGGCCGAGGTGATGGACACGGCAAACGAGGGGATGCTGGAGCAGCTCAGGTTAACTAGCCTACCCTCGGCCAGCAGAATAATGTACTTGCCCTCCGGCCAGATGATGTGGTCCACCTGAGAGCGAACCTTCTCCCAGGTCAAATCAGGTGTGCGCAGCCCATTTACATCGATCTCCGTGTTAGAATGGCCCATGTTACACACTATGCAGCCACTCTTCATCTTGTCCATGTGCTCGCGTACCACCACGTTCTTGTTGCCCGTCGCAGTCACCACGATGTCCACGTTGCGGATCACCTCGTTGAGCTTTACCACGCGGAAGCCATCCATGCTGGCCTGAAGGGCACAAATGGGATCGATCTCCGTGATGTAGACAATGCAGCCCTGAGAAAGTGGATACAAAATTAATATATGTTCTAAAGTTGTTGTTAAAAGAGGTTATTACCTGTCCCTTTAAAGCCTGAGCACATCCCTTGCCCACATCGCCGTAACCACAAACCACCACCTGCTTACCACCAAACATCACGTCCGTGGAGCGCTTAAGGCTGTCCAGGATCGATTCTTTGCAGCTGTACAGGTTGTCGAACTTGGTCTTAGTAACGGAGTCGTTAACATTCATAGCCGGAACAGTCAACTTGGCGGCCTTGGAAAGCTGGTAGAGTCTGTGCACTCCGGTGACGCTCTCCTCCACGATTCCCTTGACCAACTTGAACATGGTCGGGTACTTCTTCAGCATCAGGTGCGTGGCATCGCCACCATCGTCCAGGATCATGTTGGGCTGCCAGTTTTCTGCGTTCACACAGCGGTCAATGCACCACCAGAAGTCTTCTTCCGTCTCGCCGCGCCAGGCAAAGATCGGGATATTAGATTCTGCCAAGGCAGCAGCCACTTCATTCTAGAAAATAATGGAATAATATTATTATATATTAGTTTGTTGTAATACAAAATGTTTGTTACATAGAGTACTAAAAAATCGGTGTCAACGTAATCGTTTTAGTAACTAATTAGCGGACAAAATACATTTATCATTAGTAAAATATTGTTTAAATTATCATAAAATACGTAAATAAGTACACAAAAAGTAAAATATTTCCCTATAAGAGGTTTGGGCGATTGTCCCAACACATATTACAATTTTTTTTAAGTTGTTCTCTACATCAACTGCTTTAAAAATGGATATATAAATTATTTTTACTATTTACGAATACCTCATCAGTTTTGAAAAGGTCGTTGCTTTCCTTATGATTTAATGGATTATTAATAAAAACTTCTGATATCACGTCTACATATCAAACATTAAAAAGCCATGAAATTCCCGAAAAGTCGGTTGGACTGATCAATCGAGCCACCCTAATGCGCTGTAAACATTTGATAATATCTGAATTATATCGGGCTGATAGGGAATCGGCCTGCACCCTCGCTAAGCACAGCACTCGCAACTCGGCTGATAAGCCCCAGGCGATACAGGTGAATCAGCCTGACAGGCTGTCGGAGGCCGAAAGCGATAAAATTTTAGACGGACGGGTGCATAAATAAGTTGGGGAGCGCCCTCGCACTCGGATCGCTTCATTAGAGATCCCATAAAATGTTTAGAGTCAGCAGACTCGTGATAATTGCATCAGCCACGCCGCAGGACTGGGCAAAAAATCGAAAAACCGCAGTCAAATCGATGCTGGGGAACTAAAAATGAAACTGCGTCTATAACTTCCACTGCCAATGATATGGCGACCCAATTCAGGGCACATCAATTACTCAGCGATTGCCAAACACTTGAGCCGCGGGCGCTTAATTGATTAACATGGCTTGATTGATCATTTGTTTGCGCCGCCTGGCGTGACGACAATTGTCTCCAAGCAGCCAGCCAGATCAAGTGACCAAGCTCGAATATAAATGTAAATTTAAATAAATAAAGGGAAATAAGTTCGAAAATGAATTCTGGGAAATTAAATTAAGTGTATTTAGCACTCAATAAAAAAACTATACAATCTGTACTTTAGAAATGTTAATTTCGACATATGACTGGGAAAATATAGATAATTTATAAGTGCTATTAAAACTCTTGAGATTATTTAACCTTCACTTAAGAAAATACAGTTCAAAAAGATTGCAACTAAATAAAATTAAAAATGTTAACATCCGCACTTTTCAAATAACAGGTGGTAGTTAATAATAAAATGAATAATGTGGCACGTATGGTCATAAACTTAAACTTACCTGGGTGGAGTAAATGTTGCAGGCGGCCCAGCGCACACTAGCTCCTAACTCGACCAGCGTCTCGATGAGCACTGCCGTCTGAGCGTTGATGTGTGTGCATCCCACGATTTTGGCATCCTTCAAGGGCTTGTCCTCGGCTGCCCTTTTCTTCAGGGCAATAATTCCAGGCATTTCTTGCTCCGCAATCTCAATTTCCCTTCGTCCGAATGCATGCTGGGCTGCTATATTCCTCACACAGAAATCGGAACTGCCCTTGGAGTTCTTCTGGACCTTTTCCCGCGGCGGCACATCATCACCATCTTCGCTGCTGCCTGTATAGCTGGCCGAACTGAAGGAATCCGTGGAGGAGGCACTTAGCGAGCGGCTCCTGTAACGACTTGTCTTCTTCAAAGCTGAGGATTGCTTGGTGGCCGGTGGTGGAACCACCACGCTAGCATCCTGAGGAGCAGGTCCTGCCAGCTGCTGCTTGTCACCGCCTCCGAATCCCGGATCAACTACCACAGTGTCTGCCAGGTTGTTCATTATGGAAGTAGAGGGTTCCTTTAGGGTGGAAGTAGAGGTAGGTTCCTAGGGGATTCCTTAAAATCCTGTAAATCTGCTTTAGCTGCTCCTTTATTGAAGTTTCTGAAAGCTGGTTGTTTATCCTTGAATTTCCTAGCTGTTTATTCACTCCACCTAGAGCTCAACTTTCGCCAGCTGCTAAAAATTGAACTTGAAACCAATCCTTCTCCGCTCCTCCTTCGAAACGCCCGCCTTGGATGTTATGTAAAGGCTGAAATCCAAGGAGGACAAGCTAGAAATCGCTATATTCTTTGGTCTGGGATTATACTAACCAGACAATCACGTGATATATCGACGCTGTGTCGCCCACAATTTGTCAATTTAATTGTTTTTAGTTGGAGTCTCCTTTGTTTCACCTCTCCTCTATTGTTGTTGTTGTTCTTCTTCTTTACAGGGGGTTGAGCACTTTGGATCCGGGGTTTCCTGGGTTTTCCGGGGAGGGGAAAATGATACAGCCGTCGGTGTTCTGGCGACGTTGTTTGTGTAGCGACCAAGTGGGGGATCGTTGGCGATCGTTTATTGAATTTGATTTTATCCGGAGAAAGAGAACTAAACCGAACCGAGGACAGTAAGCGAGAAACGCGGAAATACCAAAACGTGAAAAGGCGTTAGCGTAACATCTTAAACGAGGTGCGTTCCCACTGAAAAATTTAAAAGTAACGTTTACCGTAATGTTTTTGTAAAATAATCTTATGTTAATATGATTAATTGTATGAGTCACATAAATAATAGAGTGAATTTTTCACAAGAATTACACAGACAGAAAATATACACATGTTTATACTCCCTACAAGGGCAGAGTCAACAATCAGTACGATAAGATTAAACTAATATAATTTGGCAAAATATTCGAATTTATTAATTTATATTATATTAAAAACAAATAGTTAACATGTTATCCCTACATTTCCTCCTGTAGGTAACCACACACTTCGTAGTCATCCGACGTGGTGACCAAATGTGCTTCTGTGAGCAGGCCAGCTTTGTAAGACTCCCTTTTGTCCACTACCCGGGACAGTTCCTCTGGAGCAAGTGGTCCCAGCTTGGCGTGTTTTTGTATGAAGTCTCTCGCCAGTCGCCGATCAACGACAGACATCTCCAAGCTGCGACTCCAGGCGAGCAGGGCCAAAGGGCGCTCTGGACTCAGAGCCTGGGAAGGTGAAATCAGATGGCGATACAGACAACCGCTCACGATGTCCTGCAATTGCTTCACTTGGCCAGAAAATGCGCAGGGATGATACAGCATCACAATGGCACCTTCTGCTAGGTTTCGTAGGTACCGCTGAGGTGGCAGATAGGTGTAGGATCCATATTCTGCAGGCAACTGACGATAAGCACCACTACAAAATTAAGGTTTATATTTTAACATTTTTAGAAGAAATTATATCAGTTGCTTTACTTGGTGGCAGGTAGGTGGGTGTAGCTGATTGTCTCGTTAAGGCACTTTACTGGTGGCACATAGGCGCTGGGCAGGAAGTGTTCCGTGAGAATAGCTTCTCTGGTCAAGTTCGGTTGGAATAAGCTACGATTGCTAGTGATACACAGATAATTCAAATTATCGCGAATGTCATTTGGATCGAAGTCTATGGCAAGATTGCTCTGAAAAATATTAATACATATAAATCAAACAAATTCAAAAAGTACTGGTAAAATTTTTAAAGGGTATTCCCCGTTATCGAGTTGAAGATAGATAGTAAACTCACCTTTCCATCATCGCATATGTTTTGTTTACTTTTGTGAGATTTGGTATCCTTGGAAGTCGAATCCAAATGGTCCAGCCAATTTTCCTGGGAGCCTGACTTCTCTGATTTATCATCCTCCGATTTAGTCCAGAGCAACGGCTTCTTCTTTATCACGTGAGGTTCTCCCGGGGCGTAGGGGAACCATTTGCCATGCCAATTATCTTTGGTTGTGACGTTCTGCTGGTGTGCCATCTTGCCCAGGTGGGGCTCTCCGGGGGCTTGTGGAAACCACTTGCCCTGCCATTTATCCTTGGGTGTGGCCACCACAGGACTTCCTTCCACGGTGGTGTTCGTTGCCTGTGTTTCTCCAGGGACATGGGGAAACCATTTTCCATGCCATTTATCTTTTGCAGCTGGAGCTATCGGATCTATCGGGAGCTGCATACGTTGCACTTCATTGGAAATATCTGTTGGGGGCTTTCCCGTCCTGCCCAGACTCTCATCATCAGAAAAGGGGTCCAGGAAGCTAACATACGATTTCTTGATGGATTTTGCCTCTAAGAAGTTAAAGCTAATGCACAAAAGAGTCGTAAATTGCCAAATAAACATAATAATTGCCAGAAAAAAAAACAAAAGAGGAAAAAATAGACAAACAAAAATAAAATTAAGAACTTAGCAAACAGCTGTGAAGCTACGTTTTCCAACACTAAACAAAGTATGACTTAGTTGCAGGGTAGCAACAGGTGGTTCCGATTTTGATGGCACTATACTTTAAAAGAATTGTGCAGAAATTAAAAATACTTGCGTTTAAGTAAGTCTTATTATAAATACATTATAAGACTTTAATAACCAAATGAAAATCGGAGATATATAATAATTAGATTGTATGTAAACATCTCTTGAGACTCCAACATTCCCAAGCCTGACTTATTCACCAATTTTCGAAAGAATTGTGCGTTATTTATAAATTTGAGTTTGTAATAGCAATTATTCCTAATAGCAAATTCAGTTATTTATAATTATTAATATTTATAAATCAACCATTCTTGCACCTCCCCCGCAGAGCCCTGAACAGATGGTATTATCCGACTACTGCTGACATGGTCACATTAGCCACAGCAACAAAAAGAAGAAGAACAAGGGCCAACTTGATGGTCACTCGCAACTGCGCTTTATTAATTCATTATTTTCCAAAATAATGCACGTATATACCCACCCAAAGCTGCCCTGCACCCCCGCCAATAATAAAATGTGAGTGGTAAGCATTTTCAATAGAGTCTTATCACTAATTTAAACCCCAATTCTCTTCCGTTTCCTTGTTCGCCCCCTAGAAAACAATAACAAAGGTCTGTTATTGTTGTTGCTGCTGCTGCGCTGGAAAAATAACACAAAATTTAAAACGCACAAAGGCAAACGCGAAAACGTGGAAAATTCGGTTCGGGGAAAATCCCAGGCAAGATGTCGTGGTTTAATCCCTGGGATGGCCTCAAAACTAAAATGTGTCGCTACCTGCTGCAGCGATATTTGGGACAGTTTTTCGAGAATAACTTGAACTTAGAGCAGCTGAAAGTAGATCTATATAATGGCAAAGCGGTGGTGGAGGATATATTTCTGAAGGTCAACGCCTTCAATGATCTCTTTGAAGACCAGGGCTGGGCCTTTGAGGTGGTTTCGGGCCACATTGGACGACTGACAGTGGTGGTACCATGGAATGCTCTAATGACTAATGACAGCAGCCTAGAGATCCATAATCTAACAATCACTTTAAGGCCAGTTACTCGCTTTCAGAGCGGCACCACCATGCTGGAGTCCATGTGGTCTTCGGTGAGCAGTTCCATGCAAATGGCTGAAGAGTGCATGAAGCAGGTGGACGACGATGTGCCCTTCCTGAACCACAATAATGCCTTGATTGGGCTGGAGAAGTTCGCAGAAACCATCGAAACCATACTCAATCGTATAAGAGCCAAATTGACGAATACTACATTAAACATAGAGTACCTGCTGCCCAGATCGGATAGAAAGCTGGTGCTTTCCTTCCAGGCCAGTCACGTAGAGTACAAGAACAAGACGGGTTACGAGATGCCCATGTCGACTTCCCAAAACACTGAAACTGAAGAGGACCCCAACAATAGCTTTAATGCTTTGCCTATGATAGCCAAACATAATTTGGTGATAGAAGGGCTCAGTTTGCACACCTCCGAGGTGCTTGATGTGATGGATCACCAGTTTGGACCCACTCCTTACGAACAGCTCTGCAAGATTGTAGAGCTGAAGGGCGCCCAGAACATTCAAATCAACATCAAGCAGACAGAGAACATCGTGGGTCCTAAAGTCAGTCTGGAACTTAGTCTAGATGACATATACTTCATGGTTACGCCGCGGCAAATTCACTTGCTTGTCGAGCTTTCCAAAGGCTTCAATAGCGGTGGCCAGCAGGAGCGACCTAAAAAGGGCAGAAGCTTGAAGTCGGCTCCCCCCAGTGAATATCAGATGCAAAATCAGCAACAGCCCACCAGAATGACGGGAATTCTGGGACAGAATGCAGATTGGTGTACTGGAATGTCAGATGCCGATCCCTCCGAATATTCCGGCTATGGAAATCCCCCCAGAAGCGGTTACACACGGAGTCGAAAAATGAGTGAGTCCACAAACAGCATGTTAACATCATGCACAAACACCCTCCAGCAGGAATTGGGCTACACAGAGAAGTCTGGCGAGATCCTCAAGTTTAAGGTGCAGATTTCAAAGATCTACGGGGTGGCTCTGCACCAGGATATTCTCATTCAAAACACGGCCAACATCGATAGCGTCAGCACTGTTTTTGATCACGCAAGTTACCTTCGCTACTCGGACACTGCCAGTGGTTTCTTTTTGAGCACCCTCCTCGATAATCACATGCCGCTGCAGAAGCAGCAGTACCTTCTGCTGCGAGCAGCCCCAATCATCGTTAGTGGTAGCCAACAGCGCTACTTCCAGGAGCTTACATCTAGAACTACACTATCAGCCACGGCTGTAGATCTCTGCGAGGTCTTGGACAATTCTATGGAGCATCTGCTGCTGTTTGATCGCCAGCGAAACTGCCCGGATGGCTATCACATCAGACCGGAGATTGTAGTCACCCAGAGCTCCTCATTTATGTTCAAGCAAAGCCACAATCGTTGCACCAACAAAATCGAGTGCAGTTTGGATGAATGTACAGCAGAGTTGGATATATCTATATACGATCGCTTAGGAGCACTCTTTGGCTGTTCCCCGTTTTCGAGAGATTCAGCTCTGTCAAATCCCTATTCGGATGATCCTAGCCAAACAGAGTTCAGTGTGAAGTGCGAAAATCTGCGGCTTCACTTGCGTTTTCCAGTTGTGGATGGCAGAGCCGCTAATGATCCGCAGAAGATTCCTTGGTGGCAGAAGAATGTGCGGCGAGACTTTTTGGCTTTGGAGTTTCGTGCCTTGGTAGTCAGTTCGAAGTCCCAGATCAGCATCGTTTCGGATGAATTGGATGCTTATTACTGTGATGCCGAAAAGGAGACAGCGGTACATCTCTTAAAATGCCAGCAGAGAATGCAGCCGAATAAAAAGATTCAAATAGACATACTCCAGCTGAAGGATACTGGTGATCAACAAAAAAAACCACCAAGGAAATCCCCCTTCAGCTCAAAATGTACCTTTGGCTATACTTCCCATGTGGAGGATGGCGGTCTGGACAAAACGGATTCACTTTTGCCTGGTGAAACGGAGGAAATCAATGAATTCTGCGATAGTTGTACCCAATCGTCTAAGCTGAAGGTATTTGTTTTTATCCCTCTCGTTAAGGTTGTGTTGGATTCCAAGAGTATGTATGAACTTATATATAATCGACTTAATGGAGATCTGTTCATGTGGGAGCCACGATCTCCGCATTATGACAGCAATCTGGAGGAGGAAGCCAGAGAGTCAAAGAACCTAGATGCTGAGCCCCAGCTGGAGGAGTTTAGGAGGAACCTGCTTCTAAGTACCAGTGCCATGGAGAGCAGCATCTACTTCTCCATGGCGGAACCTACGGTTTCTGCTGCACCTGCGCCGCCTATTCGAAATGAAGCCTTCTCGTTTGAGTTGTTCGTGGAGCAGGGATCCTTGATTCTGTTCTCCCATTTTCTCGATCCCGAGACTCATCAGCGCTCTGAGGAGTGCGGCAAGTTCCAGGTAAACGTCAAGGAGCTGCGATTGTTTACAGTGAATGGATTGGATAACGATGCAAATCGGAGTTTCTTTTGCATCCAGTTGGGCGAGATTGAGGCATTGCACTGTGGAAACACTCTCCAGGACTTGGTGCTAGCATGGAGTGATCTACCGGATAACAACTTGCTCCCCACCATCTATAATTTTCCAAATGCCCACCAGCCGGACAGGAAAAGAGCCGAAGTTTTATCCCTGGTGGCTGAGATCAAGAAGCAACCGGAGCAGCGCATTAAAAGAATGAAGATGTCCTTTGGGATAAGTGGCGCCATCCTGCAGCATCACTCCTGCCACTCAGAGCACAGTTGGTTAAATCAACTGATCGACTTCATGGACGTTGCTGATTTTCCCATCGAAGAATACGAACCCTTCGCTCTGGTCTCGGAATTGCAGTTGCATGTGTGGAACGCTGGCATTGATTATCGGCCGAAATACTTTCCTCAAAGGGCTTTCCTGGATCTGGGTTACTGTACCTTGAGCAGCAACATCATATCATCCATGAGCGGCTGCACCTTGCGACTCCTCGCTGAGGACTGTGTACTCCAACTGGGTTTGGTTAATGAACCTAATGACTCATTGATCCCTGTCTTGAATCTTGGACTACTGAACATATCTTTTAGGTTGAACGCTGAAGGTAGTGGACAACCGCGAGTCGACCTGCGTTCCTCCATCCATGATATGCACCTAAAAACATGCTATGATTCTGCAGCTGCCCTGGCCCAACTGATAGCTTATGTCGCCAACGACAGGGATTTGTGCCCGCCAGACGAGCCCATCTTAAATGAGGAAACCAAACCAGTAGATCCGAAACCCAATGAAGATCAGGAGATCAATGATCACACACAGAACCATGTAAACAAGCTGATGGCCGATGCTGTGATGGATGTGAAGTGCTCACCCAAAATATCCACCAAATCTCCTGGGGGCAGGGAGGAGGGCATTGAGATCTTCTACTTTCCTGACGAGCCAAAGGAGAAGAGAAAATCCACACCCGCTAAGCCCCAAAGCACACCGCTGATGGTGGAGAGTCCCTCGATCATTGGTGACATTCTAGACTTTGAGTCGAATGTAATCCTGCAGTCCTACTACCACCAGAGTCAAGTGCAGCCGCAAACATCTTTGGGCTCCCAAGTGCAGCAGGAGCTCGGATCCCTGGGAAACGCCTCACTGGAAGAGCGTGATTTCGACATCATCCACGACGAAGAGATCTCGCGCATGGACAAGTTTGGTATCAAGCAGATCTATATATCGGAGGACCCCCTCCAGATTGTGGACAACCACTTCGAATTGCCCCACGAGAAGGTGGATCTTTTAAGGCCTCCAGCTAGTTTCCCAGTGGCCGAGAGCAGTTACACCCTTTGCGAGATGACTTTCACTTGGCACCTTTATGGCGGTCTGGATTTCCCCGATGAACCACTCAAGAAATCCTCTTCATCTGCTTCCAGTGGCTTTGGTATGTCCGATACATACAAGTACGGAGTATCTCAAGCTCAGGAACAGGATAAAAAAGGTTCCAAGAAGAGTCTGTCAAAGCAACCTAAAGGTTCAAAGCGCAATTTGGAGGTTCTTGTGGAGATTCAACTTTCCAAGATCCGATTCTCCTACGAGACCTATCCGTTGACCTCCATGTACTCATCCCGCCAGGTGCTTCTCGTGTCGGAAATTGAAATTAGAGACAGGCTGCGCTCCTCGGACATCAACAAATTCCTGTATCATCCAACCGGCAACAATTTATCCCACAAACCGGATGAGAACATGGTGATAGTTAAGGCCCTGAATGTGCGTCCAAATCCGCAGAAGAGCTCCGCGGAGGAGTGCTCCCTAAGGGTATCCATTCTGCCCATAAAACTGAACATTGACCAGGATACCCTACTCTTTCTAGAGGATTTCTTTTCTGGTATGTTCCGTAACTCCGCCAGTGCTTCTAGTGGCAGTAAAACAGAGAGCAGTGGCTCCTCTGCGACAGATATGCCGGTGATGTCGGTAAGCAAAATGCCGGAAGATTTATCTGATGAACTGCCCGATTCTGAAGTCAAGGAGATGGTGGAAAGAAATCTGAATGTGCTGATTGAAGAGAACAGCTTGGAGGTTGAGGTGGAGGAGGATTCCGCCACAGCACCACCTGTGTTCTTCCGAGAAGTGATTTTCAGTCCAGCGCTACCCATTTGTTTTGACTACCATGGAAGGCGGATTGAGCTCTCCCGAGGACCTGTCACCGGCTTAATTATGGGCCTCGCCCAGCTCCAAGGATCCGGAATTAATTTAAGAGAAATCGTTAACCGTAGAGGCATACTGGGCTGGAACAAACTTTGCGAGTTTCTAGCGAAGGAGTGGCTTAAGGACATCAAGAGGAACCAACTGCCCAATATTCTTAGCGGCATTGGACCAACAAATGCGGTGTTGCAACTTTTCCAAGGTGTTTACGATCTTTTCCGGCTGCCAATTGAGCAGTACAACAAGGATGGCCGGATCATCAGAGGATTCCAGCTGGGAGCCCAGAGTTTCACGGCGCGCACAGCATTGGCTGCTTTGGAGATCACCTCCAGGATTATTCATCTGCTACAATTTACTGCAGAGACTACTTTCGACATGTTATCCGCAGGTCCGTCGATGAAGAAGAGGAAGGGCGGCAGGCAGGGCAAGAGGAGGCGACAAGGACGACCCAAGGATCTGCGCGAAGGCGTGGCCAACGCCTATACTATAGTAAGAGAGGGCATCAACGAATCGGCCAACACCCTCATAGAAGCGGCCATCACGGAGCACGATCAGAAGGGCTACAGTGGAGCAGTGGGCGCTGTGGTGCGCCAAATTCCGCAGCTCGTTGTTTGCCCGGCGGTGCTGGCCACCCAAGCCACCACTAATATTCTGGGAGGCGCTAAGAGCTCGCTGGTTCCGGAGGCAAAACTGGAGGCGCGCGACAAGTGGAAGCAGGAGATCCACTAAGGCAATAGCTCCTCCAGATCGGATAGGTTTAAAGTAGATTTAGTTCACGGGGCTTACGACATAACGTAATTTTTTCTATTGTTTTACTAACAATAAATAATGTACATAAAAGGAGAAAATGCACAAGGCAAGGGAGACGAGGAATTGGAATCCCGAATGATTCCAGAATGGGTGTGATTAAACTTATCCTTTTTAGCCATATTTCAGTACATCAAAGTTATATTTTTTATTATTTTACCTAAATAAAAATGTATATAAAAACAAACTAAAAATCGAATTATTTATACAGAATTAGTTTAAAATTAGAATTGTGCTAACTTTTTGTTAAAGGCACAAGGAATATATTTTCGTGATATGTATCAAAAGGCAATTCGATTGGCCAAAAATCTCTATAACTAAACAATTCTGATGTCCAAATAAGAATTTTGAAATTCATAAATAATGTTCTAAGGCATTTAAATTGTAACGGTAAGAATTAGACCGTGGGATTTACAAAATAGCTAAATTGTAATTAGTGAATGGCAATCTCTTGCGAACAGCTGTTTCATTTGCGTTCCGGGCGAATGTCAGTTAGTTGGCGCATGGTTTACGTAAAAGCCGCATAAACTGCTTAATTTTTTTTAAAGAAAATATAGATTTCTATATAGAAATTTAAATATAAACCATGTCCTCCGGATTGACTCGCTTGTGGGAGCGCCTGCCGCTCAAAAATCAGGCAGCAAGAAGCAGTATCCGCGTGTTTTCCAATCAGGAGCAGCTGCAGCAGACAGAAGTTGAAGACGAAGAAGGTAAACAAATAGTTTTCCACGGTATATAATTTTAATAAGATATAATTAATATTCCTGTTCGTCCAGAATTTAGAGTTCTAAATCTGCGGGCGGTGAAGCAGCAGTTCCAAAAGCGGCAGCAGGCGCGCAGGGATCCCATCCCACCGCCGCGCACCACTCGCATGGCGGTGGATCAGGATTGGACAGCCGTGTGGCCAGGACCAAGATCTTTCCACCCGGCCAGTGTCCCCCTGCCCCTTCGCCAGGGTTTCACGGAACGTGGGGCAGCAGCCCCATCGAAATTTGCCAATGCGGAGCTTATGAAGATACCTAACTTTCTGCATTTAACACCGCCGGCCATCCGACAGCAATGCGAAGCCATAAAGAAATTCTGCACACCATGGCCAAAAGGTCTGGAAACGGAAGCCAAGTGGCAGCGTCACTTTCCCCTCGAGATCACCACCACGGACTACTGCCACAGTCTGCCTACGATCAGAAATCCGGAGGCCAGAAGGGTCACCATTTCTCTAAAGCTTTCTGATCTGAAGTTCGATGCCCATGCCAGGGATAAGTTTTTGCGCTTGATAGGCGATCGTTACAACAAGGAAACGGACGTCGTCAAATTTGTCACGGATCGGTGTCCGCAAAAGAAGCAGAACTACGATTACGCTTTGTATTTACTCACCGCTTGCTACCACGAGTCCTTTGTCACTGAGCCCTGGGAGGCCACCAAATCGGAGGCCGATATGGAGGTATATCTGTTCGACAGGAACCAGTCAAAGGTCTCCGCCGAGGGAATCCTTAACTGGAACGCCAAGGAGGGTGCTCAGAAGGTGGCTCCCAGTAAATCCTATGCTAATTGTGTAGAGCAACTTATTAACGAGGGGGAAAACGAGTACAACTTGGGCAAGTACAAGGAGGAGGTCAAGAAAATGTTAAACATTGCCTAGGGAAATGGAAATTAAACTAATAAAGAGAGAAGCTGTTGTTAAAATTATAAAATTTCCTTTTTCAAACTAATCAAAAAGATATAAATTTAAACAAGGACGAAGCCAAAATGTTTAAAAGAAATGTAATTTTTGACGTTCGTAAATGTAGCTAAAACAGAGCCCCTTTAAAGGCGCCCCTTATTCGGGGCGAATGACAATTTGAGTGGACAGCTGTTTCTGCGGCAAGTAAAGTCGTTTCTGTGTGAACGATATAAGACCAGCGCCAAGAACAGAGCCAAAAGAACTTATTTCCGCGACGTGGAAGCAGTCTTTTGTTTTGCTATGCTAATTAGTAGTTATTAGTTTATTCAACCCAGACCGGGTGGACTTTTAATAGGATATAGTCGCTATCAGGTGAGAATGTGTGCTGTTTTAAAAATCCAACAAAAGCTATGATAAGAACTTGCCTGCTGATGACGTTTCACCTGATTCACCTGCCGTGAAGTCAAAGATAAAAAACAATGTCAGTCGGTTAAGTTTTATTAAAACCTGCAATATTCGTAATTTCTTTATAAATGACAATAATAAAATATAAATAATAATGACAATAATAAAATATATGTATATCTCTACGATAATGAAAGCTAGCGGAAGGTTCTCAAGTGCAATACCATCCAATTTGTTTTATCTCAACTTTTAATTTGGTTTAAATGGCTCCCTTATCTTTAGTTAATTTTGTATGCCACTCAAAAGATGTACATATGTATATGCTTACGTTTCTGTATTTTTTTACTATTCTTCTCTTCTCTTTAGCGTAGCCAAGGTTCTTGAGGGAAACCACGTTGCAGTGCAAGATAAAGAGACAACCCAGCAAACACTGGAAACACCTGAGCTAACAATCCAGTATCAGCTCTTTTAGAGGCATTCCACTTCATTTAATGGTTCACCTACAGACCCGAAGAGCAGACACGTAGCCACGGATATCCGGCAAATATGAGGCGACCTAATCTCAAATGGATAGTGAAGGCCTCGCTGCTTTTGTTGGTCTCGCTGACACTGTTTATACTAATCACCAGCTGGATCTCCTCCAGTCCGTACACCAATAAGCCCGTTCACCATGGCATTGAACCTCTGCCCGAACAGGCTGGCCTTTCCGGCGATGTTCAGCCTAATATTCCAGCTCCACAGCCTAGACATAAGCAACCAAGCGCTAAAAAAGAAGTAGAACCAGATTTTGAAGCGGATCCGGAGCTACAGAAGATCGATGAGCCGGAACCGGAGAACGAAGGGGTCCACAATCCTCGGTCTGCCGAAGATGAGCCTGGACAGCAGCCGCAGGAGGAACTGCAAATGGCTCCGCCGGCCGATGCTTCGGTGAAGAAGGATTGGCATGACTATACGGCAATGGAAAAGGATGCAAAGCGCGTTGGTCTTGGAGAGAAGGGCAAAGCTGCTTCATTGGACGATGAATCCCAGAAAGACTTGGAAAAACAAATGTCACTAGAAAATGGATTTAACGCCCTTCTCTCAGATTCCATATCGGTTAACCGTTCGCTGCCCGACATCCGTCACCCACTGTAAGTTGTATATAAGAAATCGTACATTTTCGGGGAATTTAGTAACGCTGATAAAGCAGAAGTTCTCTAAATATGTATCCAAATATTTTGTTCTCTTATAATATCAAAAGAAGCTTATCACTTTGCACTCAACCCTGCTCAACGTCACGGTTATTATGATAAATATTTGAAAAAATCTTTGTTTTGTGTTATTGAAGATCTAAAAATAATGCACATAAAGTGATCTCATATTGCTCATTTGCTTATCAACAAAAACAATTTTTACCTGCTTTTCAGTTGCCGCCACAAGGAGTACGTCACAAAGCTACCCACTGTCAGTGTGATCATCATTTTCTACAACGAATACTTGAGCGTATTGATGCGCTCGGTTCACAGTCTGATTAACCGCTCGCCTCCGGAGTTGCTCAAGGAGATCATCCTGGTGGACGATCACAGTGATCGGGAATACTTGGGTCACGATCTGGAGGCCTACATTGCGGATCACTTTAAGTGGGTTCGCGTGGTGAGATTACCAAAGCGCACGGGCTTAATTGGAGCCCGATCGGAGGGAGCAAGAAATGCAACTGCCGAGGTGCTCATCTTCCTAGACTCACATGTGGAAGCCAATTACAACTGGCTCCCACCTCTGCTGGAGCCGATTGCCCTGAACAAACGCACTGCGGTGTGTCCTTTTATCGATGTGATTGATCACTCCAACTTCAACTACCGAGCTCAGGATGAGGGAGCCCGAGGAGCCTTCGACTGGGAGTTCTTCTACAAGAGGTTACCCCTCTTGGAAGAGGACCTCCAACACCCCGCCGATCCTTTCAAGAGCCCCGTTATGGCTGGTGGATTGTTTGCCATTTCCTCTGAGTTCTTCTGGGAACTGGGCGGCTATGATGAAGGTCTGGACATTTGGGGTGGCGAGCAGTATGAGCTAAGCTTCAAGATCTGGATGTGCGGCGGAGAAATGTATGATGCTCCCTGCTCTCGTATCGGTCATATATATCGAGGACCACGAAACCACCAGCCGAGTCCAAGAAAGGGCGACTATCTGCACAAGGTGAGAATGAATCCCATTATGTTTTCAAGGGTAGTAGTAATGGTCGAGCTGGCAAATGATTATACAAGTAGTTAATATTTTAATAGAAAAGTAGGTCTATGAGAACCACGAAACCAGTTTTTGAAACTCGGCAATATACATATTTATGATTGGTATCGACTGACAAGCTCGTCAATTCGTCTTTTTCTAAAGAAACAAGTTTACTAGTTTTATTACAAATTCTTTGAAAGTTCATTTGCCTTTAAACTTGTCATTTATCAGATAACTCTACCTAATACTAAGAATACACCGTTGGCAGATTATCTTAAGTACAAAAGCATCGGTTCGCAAGATGTTTCTGCTAATTGTGAGTGAATATATTAACGCAGATCTTCATTGGTTTGCTATGCTGTGTTTCGAAGAATTTGGTCAGCAAACTTGACACCTACTTGTTAAAAATTATTGTGACGAACTTCAGTAAACTTTTAAAGCTTTTAAAAGAACCGTGAGAAGTTTCGTTTATTCACTTACTTTTTGTTTAACTTGTTCCACTGACTTACCATTTATTGTTTTGCAGAACTACAAACGAGTGGCTGAGGTTTGGATGGACGAGTACAAGAACTACTTGTACAGTCACGGCGATGGACTCTACGAGAGTGTGGATCCTGGCGATCTCACCGCACAAAAGGCAATTCGCACCAAGCTTAAATGCAAGTCCTTCAAATGGTTTATGGAGGAGGTGGCTTTCGATCTGATGAAGACCTACCCGCCGATAGATCCGCCAGCGTATGCTCTGGGCGCGCTACAGAATTTGGGAAACAAGAACCTTTGCTTGGACACAATGGGTAGAAAGAAGCACAACAAGATGGGGATGTATGCATGTGCGAGCGATTTAAAGATACCACAGAAAACACAGTTCTGGGAGCTGAGTTGGAAACGAGATCTGCGCCTGCGACGAAAGAAGGAATGCCTGGACGTGCAGATCTGGGATGCCAATGCGCCTGTTTGGCTATGGGACTGTCACAACCAGGGTGGCAACCAGTACTGGTACTACGACTACCACAAGAAGCTGGTCAAGCACGGAACGGAAGGCAGAAGGTGCCTGGAGCTTCTGCCCTTCTCACAGGAAGTGGTGGCCAACAAGTGCGACCCCGACAATCAGTTCCAGCACTGGAACTTTGGCACCTTCAACCAAACGGCACTGGACCACTACTCCCAGGATCTTGCCCTCAGCCTTTAACCGCTGCACAGCGACAGTATCACTTGCCATGTACTTAGAAAACTTCGATGTAAATAACTAGGCTAGATAGGTTCTAAGGCTATTTGGCCAATTTACAGTTTACCCCGACTCAAGCGCACATTTCCATTGCTGCATAAAAGACTATCCATGTATCTTTATAAAAAGTACATCTCAAAGTAATTCCACTTGCCACAAAGTTGATTTGTGGCGACTGTTCAGGATTTTGTTTGGTTTTCAGCAAGATCCTGAATATAATATTAAAGGAAAATACTTAGTGAGAGTGAGCCTTCAAGTTGTCATAAGTTTTGTCTGTGTACTCCATAAAGATAGTTTTCCATTAAAATTAGCAGTTTTTAAAATAATATTGAGAACCTATTTTGTTATTTGGTGGGAGCTTAGTTTGAAAATTTACCAATAGCCCGGTCCAGTAAATGAAAAATGCAGTAAGGAGATTTTAACTTTGTTTTCGTTTTATTTAATATTAATATCTGTTTGCTTTCCATGCGCGTACTTTAAATAAATATAATTTATGTTTTTTTCTCATCCATCCATCTTCGTGCTTCACAATCTGTATATACGTTCTCGGTTTGTGTGTATCGTTTTACAATATGTATGTATCATCGCTATATCGTATCTCTTGCCGATTTCGCACCTGAACGTCGCTAAGTCAGGTGCGTTATCTTTGTTTCTTTTCTGATTTCTAATTTCTGATTTCCTCTTATTACTTATGCTGCTCAGTGTTAATTGGTTTTGTTTTCTGCTTTATCATATGCCAATACGTATAGTTTATATATAAGGTGTACGCCGGGCGCCCCGCGAAACTCAAAAGTCGGTTTGGGGATGTGTAACTTAATGATGGCAAAGGATTTGCTTTTATTTGAAAATGATAAAAAAGCATTTACAAACTATAATAGTTGTTGGCTTGCGTAATCAGTTAATCAATTATCATAAGTTATATTAATATATATATTTATATAAACATTTAAATATTTATCAAAACATGTTTTTTCTTGTTGCTCAAAAGTCTTCTTCGCTGCCTTACATTTACATTACATTACGTACAGTTTACATACGATCTACATGTCCGTTCGTCAAATTAAAAATCGTATAATCAATAACCGTTTTTTTTGCTTATCCTTTTCCTTACTTTTGTTTCTTTTTGTTTTTTGTTTTGTTTTGTGCAAAATATATTTATATGTAGACTAATTTGATTTGAAATTCAGTTGCGCTGCCACATTTGCATTCTAATCGTTAATTTTTAATTTACCTTTTGGATGGATGCAAATTATTAATTGAGTTTTTTTTACAACAATTACAAATGGTTAGGCAAATAAGTATTAGTATTAGTTGTTGGTTGTTTAGTGCTTAATACTTGATTGGTTTCGAGTCTTTTTTGGGTTTTTCAAACTAAATCTTGCAGAAATAATAATAACTAGAATTAACCCCTTATTTGCCGTCGATTTGCGCATAAATAAATATATGTAACTTTCGTTTGTGTTGCATGTGTGTTTCTGTGTTGCTTAAACTTAGTTTAAATTATGATTAAAGTTTAAAAAATGTCTTGCTGCCTTACATTTCCGTCGGTTCGTCTCTTTCTCACCGAGCGTGTGCCGCTCTGATTTTTCTCTGTCTCACTTGCTCAAAAATATTCAATTCTTCTCTAGTTGTAGTTCTAGTTGTCCTGCTCGCACCATTTTCAACTGTTTTGCTTGTGGTTCTGGTTTAACGGTAAGTAAGCTGAGCACATGAGAAATTTCTTTCAGTGAGAAATCTTTTTGTCTTGAGAGAAACTCCTCATTTGCTTGAATTTATACAATTTAAATTCGATTGGCACTGCCACTCAATTTCGAGCCAATCCCAAAGGATAGTCAAATTGTCGAAAAACGGGATATTTAACTAAATTTAAAACTCCTGTAGTGTATTGTAGTTCTTTTGTAAAAACTGTTTTCCTTTGTTACCAACTATTTTCATTTTGTTGTCTTGCGAAATTCTTTACGTTTTCTAGTTGCTTGTTAAAAAATGGTTTATTTGTACTTTTGGCAATGATCTTTCTTTTTTCAACTTCCACTAACTCTTAATATGACTTTTTTGTTTTAAGCAAAAGTTTCTTTATTTAGTTTTGGTTTTAGTAGTATTCGTTTTTGTTGTTCTTCTGTAGTTTGCTTTTTGTTTGTCTTTAAAAAATAACTCATTTAACAGAAATCGTTTTGTTGCTGGCTCTTAAAAAACTAAAGTTAATAGTTGATTTTAAACTAACTGTATTATCAGTTTAGAAACTTGTTATTTTTGTGTGATTTTTGCTGAGTGAAGTGTGATGTATCTGGGTAATATTTTTGTGGAATGGTGACAACTCTGGCCTGGCAGCGTCAACTGTACTTTTCTTTTAACTGCAACTCCTTTCCCGGGGACTTTTCTTTCTCTTCTCCTATGGCACACGAAATCAAACGCATTTACAAAAATAATGAATTCTTCTGTCTCCGCTTCTTATCTTTGCTTTGAGTGAATTTTCAGTCATACAGCCCTGTTCTTTAAATTTCTTTCAATTTATGTGGGCGGTAGGAACAGATAATTTTTTTAAGATATAAATTTGGAAAAACTAGAACTGCTAAAATTAAAATAGGTTTCACATTTTTGGCTTCAAATCTAGCTTTTTGGAATAACTTTTTGTGTTAAAAATGTTTAAAAAAATTCTAAAGGGCAACGATATTTTTTAAAAACTTTTTAAAATCTCAAAACCTTTTCTAATATCTCGGAATTTAAGATATAACTTTCCAAACCGCTTTAAATCATCGTAATTGAAATCCGGAACAGGGCTGATTTGTGTGGATGCTTAAGATTAGGGCTAATCAGCGGACTCCGGTTCTTGGTTACCAGTAGTAGCCCCTCAACCTGAAGAGATTCAGGTCTGCTGCTGCTGCGGCAGCGGCTGCTGCTGATGTGGAGTGTGCGGTAGTTGTGCTGCTGTGCCAGTGGGCGTGCCCTGTGGTGGGTGGATGAGCCCACTGCCAGGAGGCGGCTGATGCTGCTGCTGGCCGGGGCAACCACCACCGTTGGGCGCGTTGTTCGTGGACGAGGTTGGACTGCTATTGCCCTCCGGATATTTCCCCGAAACCACGCATGGATGCATGGGAAACAGGGTCGTCCACGACGTGGTCGTCAGTGTTGGTGCGTGGAGGGCAACCTTCTCGTTTTTTGACTGCTCGCTAGATTGGGATTTTTTGGAATCACTGCTCTTCTTCTTTTTACTACCGCTGGCTCCGTTTTTTAACTGCTGACCATTGGCGGAGGATTCCTTTTTAACGGGCGCCGGCTCATCCTGCATCAGAGCATCCTCATCCAGATCATCCAGATCTTCGCCAGCCGCTTTTTTTATTAGACGCTCCCGTTCTTCTTTGGCTTTGTTGTCCAGATCTGTGTTGATCTTCTTTACCCGCATCTTTTCCTCCCATTCATCTATGCCATGACGGCATCGATTGAGGTTTCTATGCTGGTAGAAGATCAGGGTCATCCGCGTAGGATGATGACGATCTGGCCTTCGCACGGCCGTCGTGGCGTGCATCTCGTGTTTGGCACACTCTATCAGGACACTACCGTGATTTAGGGCTATGGCCACGCCACCCATTTGCGGATCCTGGAAGGCTTCGATGTTCTCATTGATCTCGGCCACCTCTCCAATGGGTTCGATTTTGCTGGTATTCGTGCTTCCCGGAGACGCAGCAGGTGGTGCGGTGGACGCTGAAGATGCTCCACCTGTCGGAGTTTGGTTTCCTACACCCGGATTACCTGATCCCGAATCGTTGCTGGATGACTCTCCAGTAGGCGTGGGTGTGGCTATTGTTTCGGAGGAGCTTTGGCCATTACTTAGGTCTGGTAATATCGTTTGTGGAGGTTCTTGTTGCTGTTGTTGCTGCACCTGCTGTTGCTGCTGCTGTTGAACCTGTTGCTGTTGCTGCTGATGATGCAGTGGTCCTGGCACAGGAACTATTGGCTTCTGAAGGCCCACGCCCGTAGGAGCTACTGCCCCATGGGAGGCTATCAAGGAACCCGCTCCCGTTGCTGGATTTGCTCCACCGTAACCTGAATTCACGGATCCCGTCTGGTGGTGACCATACATATTCCAATTTGGCGATGGGGGCGGAGGTGTCGGCGGAGGCGTCTGCTGGGGATACATCCCGTACGGTGAATAAGCCTGATGATACCCATAGTTATAGTTCATGTTCTGATAGGCATCATAAGCGGAATACGCCGAGTGGGGCGGTGGCGGTGGAGGCGGGTACATCTGATAGTTATTTGGATACTGAGCAGTATACTGGGCGGTATAATCGCTGGGCGGTGGCTTTGGCTTCACGAATCCCTCCTGCGGATGGTGCGAGGTGGTCAGCGGTGCGAGGTTTGTCATCGGTTGCATGGCCGTCAAGGCGGTTAGTTTACTCTCCGTGAGATTGTGATGATGGTGATGGTGGTTTACCAGGGTGGTGGAGTCAGGATTTTCTTCGCTTATTAGCCGGCTCTTAAGGTCGCCAGGTGCTCCTCCCACTACGGGCAGACCACCGGGCACCACTCCTCCTGTTAAAGCTGACTGTTGCTGTTGGCTTTGCTGATGTTGCTGCTGCACCTCAGTGGTTACTCCACCAGGATTGGTTAGAGGATTAGAAGCGGGATTACTGACCAGGGTTTGATAACTTCCTGGCCCATAGCCATTGCTTGTTTCTAGTTGCGTTGGCGTAACCGAAGGAGGAGCTGTTGGTGGAAGTGTACCTGTTGTGGCTCCGCTGGTTGTTCCTCCGGGAACAGAAGTCGCTGATGGAACTCCCAATTGTGACTGAGCTGTGGGCGTGGTCGGTGTAAGAGGTGGCACTCCTGCTACCGCTCCTCCTGGGCCTCCTCCTCCTGGTCCGCCGACCTGCGCCTGCATGCCCATCGCAGCATGGGGCGTTGGCCACTGGCCATAGTAATTTCTGGAGTCTATGTAGGAACCCGTCTGATAGTCGTAGGAGTACGGTGAATCTAAGACAGTACTTGAGATCTGGTTGGACTGCAGTTGTGCATCAGTAAACGTGTCAATCATGGTTGCCATGTTCATCAGGCTGGAGTTGGAGCTCATTAGTTGTCCAGGTTGATTGCCCGCTGCTTGGCCTCCATTGCTCTGAGGATTGGCATTTGATCCGTGGACGGGTGGTGTACTGAAAGCACTGCCCGCCGGACTGGGATTGTTGGTAACCGGAGTCTGGCAACGCGGTGACGGAGTCGAAGGTGGCGCAGATCCCGGCGTGGAAGCACTGGAGTTATTGGACTGGTTGGACTTTCCCTTGCCCTTTGACTTGCTATTGGCTCCATTGACTGGCACTCCACTTCCATTCTCCTTCTTGATGTGGGCTGTTCCCATAGCTGGTGGACTACTCTGCTGGTTGTTAGCTTGCGTTTGGGATTGTGCACCATTGCTGGAGCTGCTCTGGCTATTGGCATCGCCAACCGCATCCTGATCTCCGTCGGGTGCCGCTGCATCGTCACCATCCTTCCGTTTTTTGCCATGTCTTCTGCAGGGTATTAACGGAGTCGATCGCACGCGTACTTCGCAGGGGAATCTATCATAGAAGGATACAAAATTGCGAGAAGATATAAGTAAAGCTCAAAATTAATTACACTCAGAAGAAAGATCGATGTAAAATATGGTTTCCCTCTTTTAGGATCGATCCATTTTCCGAGTGCCTGGGAGCTGTTGCTCAAAACTCAACGGTACACTCACTTGTCCAGCATTTGCACCGCTCCGGTGCGGTGCTTGTCCCTTTGACCCTCGACACTTTCGAACTCGTCCGTACCGTCCATCGTGTAGAGCGGCAGGACGTGGAACTGCTCGTCGTCTGGGAGGCGGGTGTCCCGGTTTCCGGGCTTCAGCAAAGCCACATGCACCGTGCAGCCATCCTGCATGTTGTGCAGATCCCTGTGTGAGTGGGCGCAGAAGTCCAGGCAAGCGGTGACACCGGAGAAAGGTTTTCCGGGCTCCAGACCTAAGCGACAATCGCTGGCCTCGTGCTCGTACTTCGTCTGGTTGTCGTAGGATCGCGGGCACACCTGCTTGAACACCGGAGCCAACAGAGTGGCAATCAGGTTCATGTGATCCTCGATGGCTGCCTCCTCGCTCTTCACGGACAACCGAAACTTCCTCACCGTCTTGGAGCGGGCGTACTTGCAGCCATTGTAGTACATCGACCAGGAGCAACCGAAGGAGTACGAGGCACCCGACGATTCGGGATCGAGTCCTGAAATGAGATTAAAATTTTGGTTCATTAGACTTTGAATTTGTAAAGTTCATTCATAGAGCATACCTTGGCAGGCACAGGTGCGGTTCTCATTGGTGGCACATCTTCGCGTCGTGGGCAGGCCGTACTTGTTGAGCTTCGGGATCAGATTCTTGTAGGCATTATCCGCCTCTAAACGAGGCATTCCATCCCAGGCCACCATGCATACCACAATATAAGCAGCTATGCACCTAAAAAAGGTAAATAATTAAAATATAATTATAGAACCTCTAGGACATCCAATATTAAAGAAACCTTACCTGTGACCCGGCCGTTTCTTGACCACCACCAGAATCTTCTCTTCGAGATCAGCTCTTCGGATGACCCACTTGGCTACAGGACAACCTTGTGAAGTCTTGCCCTCCTTGCCTGTGTAGACAATCTTTTCGATTCTCAACTGGCGACCCGTGAGGTTGCAACGCTCCTCGAATTCTCTTCGTAAATCCATTAAGGAGGAAGCCGTGCCTGAAAAAAATTAAATTAAATGGAATTTTAGAAAAGTTTTAATAAGTTTTTATTAAGACGAACTCACCCAGATGCGTGTAGTAAGTACCAGGCTCTGGAGGATTTTTGTCAGACTGGAAACATTCGCACTCGGGAATCTCAGTCTTGTTGCCCTTCTCCAAACGATCCGTGGTGTCGAACATAGGATTGATCTTTTCGTGCTTCACTACGATCTCGGGGATTTCATCTGGCTTCTGCTTACCCTTGGCCTTGCCAACTCCTACAATGGGTTTCAAGCCATTGCCATGGGTGTCGATCAGCTCATCCTCATCGATGAGTTCCTCTTTGGGTTGAATACCCAACCCAAGGCAGGTTCCATCCTTTAAGTGCTCCGCTGTGGGAGGACGTGTGCCTCCTTGTCGGCAGCAGGAAAAGCCATTGTTCAAGGGCTTGCCCTCACTTCCCAGATAAGCATAGCCAGCACCGTGACCCAGCATTCCCATGTCCTCAATCTTGGGTTCGAGCATGCCGTGATGACTCAAATGCGGAGGAGCTCCGTGTCCCAAGGCATAGCGATGAGGCGGAATGGGATACGCTGGTATATCCTTCTCGTAGTTCGTGGGCAGTGGTATGATGCTATTAGTATCCGGCTTTCGGTCCAGCTCCATTAAACTCTGACTATGTCCGTGGATTTGATGCGGTTGATTGGCTGGTGGTTTCCCCCGACTGCCGTAGGTGGAGTGCTGATATCCCGGGACAAAATTCTGCTGGAAGTTCTGCTGAAAACTACTTGCTCCTGCGCCATAATAGGCTGAGTTGTGATGATAGCCAGCATAGTCCTGCTGGCCATGGCCATGATGCTGTTGCACGGGTTGTCCCTGACCATCGTTTTGGCAGAAGTCCGCATATTGTATAAAGTTCTGGTAGTTCCGCTCGTAGCCCTCCATTTTGTTCGGCTGCGGAGGACCAAGGAGACCTGGTTCGGTCTTTATGTACTGCGAGTGGTATTCCTGACCCGGTGGCGGTCCTCCGGCAGCATGTGGGTGCGGGGGATAGTGAGCACTGAGTGGTTTCAGACCACCACCTCCCGGATCTGTGGAGTTTCGATCCCGATCAATCTCCGCCGCTGCTTCTGCTGCTGCTGCAGCGGCCGCAGCTGCTCGACTGGCTTTGCTGCGACTCCTGGACTTCTTGGGCTGAGCGGCTGCAACACGAGGAAGTTGCTGTTGTGGTGGCACCACCGGTGGCTCCACCGAATGGCTGATGGTCGTATGTTGTCCTGGCTGGTGTTGCTGCAACTGCAGCTGCAACTGGGCATCTTGTCCTGCTGCTGGATAGCCACTGACCACGCTGGGCTTCTTAAATGAGTTGGCGTGGTGCGGCTTCCAGATGTGATCGCCACCACCTCCGATCGGCTCGGCAGCCACTGACCCACCAACCGTCTGCTGCTGTTGTTGTTGCACCTGCTGCACTTGTTGCACTTGCTGCTGCTGCTGCAGGTTGGGCAGTGGGTGGGTGGGCGTGGCACTGCTCGGTCCGTTGGCGCTCAGCGCCGCTTCGGGCCGGAGATGGTGGCTATACGATAAAAAATGACCGGTCTGCTGTTGCTGCTGCACCGCCGTCTGCTGCTGCTGCTGTTGCTGTTGCACCTGCTGCGGTTGTTGCTGCAAGTCCGGCGGTGGATCCTTGGGATCGCTTTTGCGCATGATCATCGACTTGATGCGGGTGTTCAGGTGGAGTCTCTCACCCTGGGGATACCCCTCGCCACCCAAAGATTGCTGCTGTTGCTGCTGCCAATTCCAATCCTGCATCGGTGGCGAGGACAGATGCTGCTGCTGTTGCTGCTGTGGTGCAACATAGGGTTGCAGCCCATTGCCTGTGGGCGACTGGTGTTGCTGTTGCTGCTGCAACATATTGCTGCGTGTGGGCGACTGAGGCACTGCCTGATTGGGTGGCTGCATGGGCGAGGAGGCGGGCTGGGCCACCGCAGTGGGTGGTGGAGCTGGTGTTGTGGTGCCACCGCTGACCACTGTCGTGGCATTGTTGTTACTGGGATTGCTGTTGTTGGTGTTGCTGGTGTTAGTGCTGTTGTTGTTGTTGCTGCTGTTGGTGTTTGGAGAACCGCTGTAGTCGCCTGAATACCCGTTACAGTTGAGTGAGCGCGGCGGCACGCTGCTCACCCGCGGATATCCAGGCGTGTCGTTTCCCGACATTGTCTTATTCAGGTCCGCTCCCAGATGTTGCTGCTGTTGTTGTTGCTGCTGCTGCTGTTGCTGCTGCGACGGCGGCACTGGTGCAGCTGAGACCTGCCCTGCATAACTAGGCGCAAATCCAGCCACGCTCTGCAGACCCACTTGGTTGATGGCCGACGGAGCCGTGGACAACTGCTGACTCTGGAAGTCATAACGCTGTACTGGTGCCGCATATGGAGATCTACCATAGTTCGGATCGAATCCCAATCCCGACTGGACGTAGCCATTTGAGGGATACGCATACGACTGCGTCTGGAAGTCCAGGGAGTTCAAGGACGTTATGGTCGGTGTGTTCTGTGGTATCTGCTGTATGAACTGGTTCTGCCAGCCCTGCGACGGATCCGCCTGCCATGTGGGGTAGAAGGCCATGGGTGCCTAGAAGAAATATTTACAAATTAAATGAATAATTGAAGATGTCCAAGGACTACAACTACTTTCTTTAAGAAATGGCAGAATAAGTAATAACATAATTAGCAAAAGTAACTTCTGCCTTCCGACCATCTTAATATGCCCATATCCTCCCATTAATTCCAGGTCTAGACTTAACCCTACCCAACTCAATGCCATTCCCCTTCTTCGGAACACCATTCATAAATAAACATTTTGGTCGTAAATACTGTTAAAAACCTGACATGAATTATGTAGCCAAGGCAGGGTTGAATTGGCCAGTCATAAATCATATTTTGTGTGCCCTAATTAGGCTCAGTCTAATTGTTGGCGAGCTCCGGACTCCAAAACAGAAATTTCCTTTTTGCCCTGAGTTACAACTTCCGCGGCGTGTACACAAAACACCACTGTTAATTAACGCGCCTCAAATTATGCTACATTTTTTGTTTCCCTGAATAAACAGGAAAACCCCATGAAAAGAAATAAAACGAAAAACATGCCAGAAAAACAAAGCCAGACTGCTGGCCAGACCCAAAACCCAAGCTCAACCCGTTTTCATTTGCATTTTTACGAGCGCACAGAAAAAGTTATGAAAGTGAAAGTGAGGAGCAATGGAAGGGGATTGGCAACAATAAAATCCAAATAAAATGTATAAATTAAAACGCAAACAATTCGGATTACACTAAGAGAAGGATTTATAACTATTAGTTGATCTACAAATTTATCTATAATTGGAAAATATTTCTAATTAGCTTGAAAGTGTTGTATTAGAAAGCGTTTTTGCCTTGCACTTAATATTTAAGAAAAGTGTATTCTACAATTTCCGAACTGCTTCTCTTTTTCCCTGTGTAGTCAATCTGAGTTGCCAGGCAGCTGGCTTCCTGTATCTGGAATTTATCCGCACCTGGTTCACGTGTGTGCGTGGCGTGTGTGTGTGTGGTTTTGTTTTCAAAAGCATTTAGCAATCATTGATAAAAATCGACAAAATCTTTATGAATGAATCGGGGGGCTATATCTACTACAAATATACGAACATATACACCTCATGTCTGTCTGGCTCTGTTGTGTGTGTATGCACAGCTGCAATTGATTGGGCCCGGGGCCACGTGACGTATACGCAATGTGGCCATGCGGATTTATGGGTTTGTTGTGTTTTTGTATTTTGCATTTTGCGTTTTGCATTTTACATTGGGCTGCCTCGAAACGGAAAATGAAATGAAAATCAAAGCTGATTGACGACCAGTAGGTGGGGGGAAATTGAAAAGGTCAATGGCATTTAATAGAAAATCGAAACCGATTGTCTCACCATGGGCTGCTGCGGTTGATCCTTCATGGTTTGGATTTGTGCGGTTATCTGATGTTGCTGCTGTGGCAAATGTTGCTGCTGTGCGTGCTGTTGCTGCTGCTGCTGCTGCTGCAAGTGCTGTTGCTGCTGGAAGTGCTGCTGTTGCTGCTGCGGCTGCTGATATTGCTGTTGCTGCTGCGACAGGAGTTGCTGCTGCGACAGAAGTTGCTGATGCTGCTGGTATTGCTGCTGATGATGCTGCTGCTGTTGCTGCTGCTGCAGGTTGCCTGTTGCTGTTGTGGTATTTGGCGATTGCTGCGGCAACAGAGTTGCTGCCGGCACTGGACTTAGACGAGGCGATGTTGCTGATGCAGCGGCTGCATTCAGTTTGTTTGCTTTGGTGGAGTTTTTGCGGGCGCGTGACTGCTGGAAAAAACAGGGAAGAAATAAAAAGTTAGTTTGGTTTATTGATAAAATAAACGTAATCTCTTGATAAGCTGGCTTAACTTAATGAATTGCTAGCTTAGCCAGCTCTAAATAACCACCACCCACTAAGTCCTGCTTATCACTTTTCTGTTATATCGCACAGTAAATTATTTAAACTTATTTAATTAGTTATTGTTTCTAGTTTGACTTTACAAGTAAATATTAATTACAGATAAATGACCCAGTCTCGCTTATTATATATTTTGTTGATTTCACTTTTTCAGCTGGTAATTGCACAGTTTCCAACATTTTTTAATTAAGGAAATTTGTTAGTTGGCACAAATATTTTAATTGCCTCCCCATCCGATCGCATAAATTATGCCCGCTTCGTTCACATAATTTCAACTTGTTTTCAGTCTGCAAACGCCGGGCAGCATGTAAAATTTATGTTGCCCACGATTTATGCGCAATTTATTTGTGCAGCCAAATCCGAAAACAGAGGAAAAATGTTGCAAAAACTCGTAGCAACAGCTGCGGTTGCCATTTGTTGTTGTCGTTGTGGCCGCTCGCCATTAAAGGCTTTCAAAATTTATGTTCATAAAAGAGTTTCTGTCGTTTCTTCTCGTCGTTTATTAGTTTTATTTTTCTATTTTTTCCTATTCTTTTTTTTCTTTGGCCAAGGGATGCAAAGTCTAATGGAAAAGGCAAAAATAGTTTTCCGCTGCTCTTGCCAGGTCAATCGATAATGTCAGGTCGGATATTTTTGCATAATGCTAGAGAGTTTTCTTTTGTGGACAAAACCTGACACAATTTATGCATGAGGGGAAGCCGTACAAAGTTTGGAAAGGCAAGGAAAGCATTTTAATTTAAATGGGATTTTTTATTCTGCAAATATGCTTACAATTACACTTATGAATTTATCGCTTCAAAGGCCTTATTCACCCAATTAATGAAGCCTAGCTCTTCAAACACTTAAAATGCTGGCTGTGCAAATATAAATTTACACAAACGGACAAACTTTTATTGTTCATTTGCAACATTTTGATGGAAAGGGGGGGTATAAAACCAAGGAAGAGGAAGCCACATAAATAAACATTGTGTCTGTCGGAAATTTCTTGCAATAAATCAACAAAACTTCTTGGGACCAAGACCAGGCCAGGGCAAGCAAATATTTCTCGAAATATTTCTGCTAATTGCAAAAGGCACAAATCAAAAATGGCCCAAAAAGGCAGCATCCAATTAATGTGGCTTATGTGGCAGGGAGTTTTGTGCAGACAATAAACACAATTTGCATACATGGCCAACAAAATGGCAGTCAAAGCAAATCGTTTGTGCAAATTGGCTGCAATAAAGTGATTTATATTTTACACATGTGTGAAATAATATTTGCCACCTTGGCAGGCCATCTCTCTTTGTCTCTCTTTCTCTCTTTCTATATATATATATATATATAGATTTGTAGTATGTAAAGTATGTGTCGCATAATGCTATGCAAATAAATCCAACAATGCTAGCTGGTAAATTCGAATTCCTCTCCTTATCTCTGGGCCCAGGTGGCAACGAAGCAGCCAAATAACTTGAACAAACACCGGGCTGGAAAAAGGTGAGGGGGCGGCGCAGGTTTTTCCCTCATTTTTGCTTTCTAAAAATATTTGCATTGCAAACATCGACGGGGCAAGCAAACGCAGGTGCAAAATTAAAATAAATTTGCACGCAATTTCCAATTGAAAATTGCCAATTATTTTTGCTTACATTTCCTTTTTTTTGTATTTTAAGAGCAAACAATCCTTAAATAAATATTCCTACAGATGAGGGTATACAAATAGGGTGATTCTTGGTAGATAAAAAAAGGCTTTTCTATCAGTTAAGTACAAAGAATATTTAAAGGTATTTTAGTTTTACATTTTTTCAAAATTTGTGATATAAAAATTAATCTTTAAACTTAGTTTTATCACTTAATAGTTGCCCTGTCATCATTTTTTATTTGCATTCCCAAGTCCATGACAGTTTAACTATTATTTTAACCTCCGCTGTATATTAGGCCCTCATAAATATTAGCATTGAAGTATTAATTAAACTTTTGCAAACACTGGCGAAAACATTTGCTTAGACATCGGCAAACAAATAAACAAACAAACGCGGCGCAAATGAAAAATCGTAAAGAAAGTAAATAAAATGTATTTTCAGACCCGGGGTCTTGGGTAAATGTTTTTCTAGTTTTTCTGTGCTGCGTTTAATGCATTTTCTCCACTATTTACCCAGTTCATAAAAGTTAATTAAATTTTTATGATCGACCGTTTGCATTGCGGCAACTATTTGTTTCTTGGTAAAATAAATAAAACGCTAAAGAAATAGATGGCACCGCCGGAGATATACTAGATGTGGGTATGGGTAAGTATCTGTGTGTGTGTGAGATAGTGAGAGATTAGTGAGTTGCAGTTGACACAGCTACAAAAACAGAAACAAGAAACCAGAACCGCGGCCAATGGCCCTGAGCGTTCTGTGTTTTCCCTCACTTTTTCTCTGAGTGTTGAAAAGAAAATTGCGCGCTGAGTAAACAGCAATTAGTTGTGTCTCTGTGTGTGTTTATCTCCCAGTGCGTGTGTATGTTTTTTTAATGTGTGTTTTTTATGCTTGTGTGCGTTACATCGCCTTGATAAGCAGCGAACGAAACGCAGCGAAATAAGGTTAAGTAAAGGTAAAAACATTGAGAAGACAGCCTCTAAATACTCTACTTCGGTAAATTAAGTTTAGTTTTAATAAATAAAAAAGTAAATTTAATACAAAATACTATTCCAAGACTTTACTTATTCGTCTTTTATTTAAAAATCTGACATATTTCAGTATTATGATAATTTTTATTTAAAAAAAAACTCATTTTTATATGCTAATTCCGTCATAAACCCATACAGATATTGTTGCCAGGCAAGTACTAACTATTTTACTAGCTCCTCGTACACCCGTCCCACTTTCACGCTGATAAGAGCCATATAACACCTCTCCCGCTCTGCGTTTTTATAGTGTGCCAGTCCGGTCGTCATAAATTACACACATAACAGAGTATACAATATAAATTATTTACATGTCCCCAAAGTCAAAGTCTGCTGATAAGGCCCAGAGGAGGGAGAGAAGTAAAAAACAAATCAACAACCAAAGAAAAGAAAACAAGGTAAGAGACAGCGAAATGAAATAATAAAAAAATGCAGCGGGTAAATTGTAAATAAATCAAATATTAGTTATCGCTAGCGCTGGCGTTCTTATTTATTTTTTATTTTATCAGCAGGCTATTTATCTGGTGTCATGTTGGGGGAATATTGGAAAATAGAAAATGAGGTAAGGGAAAAGTTCTTAAACTTTAAAGAAGTTCGAAAAGCACAGCTGAAGATTTAATTAATCTGAATTAATTAAAAGATAAGCTAAAAATGTAAAGAAGTTCCCAACAATTTCCATTTACTTTCTAGCTGCTAGAAAACTGATTAAATGTTTACAACTTGGAGAGTTCAGGACCTCCGCATAATGGCTAGCAATTAAAGCAAATCTTTATCGGGCATATTCTGCTTATGCGGCAGAATACTTCATTTTGGACTGGCAAGCACCATTTGCTCTAACGGCAAATGCAATTTCTATGATTGCATCCAGGCATCTCGTGTACTCGCCTGCATTTTCCATTTTCTGTTTTCTATTTTCCATTTTCCTGGCTCTGGTTTTTCGGTTTTACCCGCTCTTAATGCTCCATTCTTATGCTCGTTTCGTCTCGCTTCCGCTTGAAACACCTTTGGGCTGCTCAAATATTTAACTTGTATTTCGTATTCATGCTAATTTTGCATTTTCCACAATTTTCCCACCGCCCACCACTGTATGTCTCCTTGGCCCCCTTTTATGTGCACAGAATGTTTCTTTTCCCGTCCTCCGTTCTCTCTGCCATGTCCTGTTTTATTCCATTCCATTATCCTGCAGCATTTCGGAATGGCTATGCTGGTACACAGAGAGAGAAACAAGTTATTTCTTTGTGGTATTCTAAGAATTTGAAGTTTTGGAATACTTTTCCGACTAAAATATCTGTATTGAGTTGCTCTAAGAATAGTTAATACCACAAACAAACTAATTCTATATTAATATCTTGAATTTAACCTATTTAGGGGACATTTCTCGCAGTGCTCCTCAGTTTCAGGCTCTTGAGATTCTTGCGGACTGTCTGGCTATCTCCTCTTTCTCTCTCTCACACACATACATACACACACCGTCGTATAAGTAATTGCAACTGCATATGTATGTGTATGTGTGCTGTAATTGTACGTGTCGAGTGTGCGCCGTTGAGCAGGCTACATTTTTTTCTCTCTTTTTTTTTCAGCTGTCTTGTTAGCATGTGTCCGTGTGTCGAGGGCTTGTTCTCGGCGACAGTGTCAGTGTGTGTGTGTTTTATTCAATTTAGCTTTCAATTAGGCTGCAATTGTTCGTCCATCGCACGGACAGTTGCATTCTTAAGCAGCTCGCTTCTGCGGCGGCTTAACTAAAATCGAAATAATCCACTGACATGACATTCGCCCCCGAAGAAAATGCCTGACTAATTCAATTTACGCCTACTGAATTATTAAAGTTTCAGTTAGTCAATCTGAGGGCCTTTCATCAAGCCATCATTGATTGCACTCACTTCCACTCACATCATCATTTCGATTGCATATTTGCGATAAATTAAATTGGAAAAGGGCGGGTGGGAATACGGTATTCACTGCTGGTTCGAGTGGGCGGGCAGTTTATAATCAGTGATTGAAAAGGTACTGTTTGTTTTCGACGATGTGAGTGGGGTACAAAATCAATACAAACAAATTTAACTAGCTAAGGTACTTGCAACTTATCTAGCAAATACAAAGTTTCGGTAAGTACTGTTTAGATTTTCTATACAAATTTATTTGATGTTTAGCTAGGCAAGAAGATTGTAAGTAAGTTATGGAAACCTTAATATAAGTTTGCGTACCTAAGCTTAAACACTTTCCATCACT